TCATGCCTTTTGGGTTAACTAATGCACCTAGTACCTTCATGAGGTTAATGAACGAGGTTCTGCGTGCTTTCATTGGAAAATTTGTTGTAGTCTACTTTGATGATATATTGATTTACAGCAAATCTATGGATGAACATCTTGATCACTTACGTGCTGTTTTTAATGCTTTACGAGATGCACGTTTATTTGGTAACCTTGAGAAGTGCACCTTTTGCACCGATCGAGTGTCTTTTCTTGGCTATGTTGTGACTCCACAGGAATTGAGGTTTATCAAGCCAAGGTAGAAGCTATCTGAGGATGGTCTGTACCAAAGACTATCACACAAGTGAGGAGTTCCTAGGACTTCTTTGGTTTCTATTGCCGATTTGTGAAGGACTTGAGTACCATTGCTGCACCTTTGAATGAGCTTACAAAGAAGGGAGTGCCTTTTGGTTGGGGCAAAGTACAAGAGAACTCCTTCAATATCTTTGAAAGATAAGTTGACACATGCACCTCTCCTCCAACTTCCCGATTTTAATAAGACTTTTGAGCTTGAATGTGATGATAGCGGAATTGGACTGGGTGGTGTTTTGTTACAAGAAGGCAAACACATTATGTATTTTAGTGAAAAATTGAGTGGGCCTGTTCTAAATTATTCTACTTATGATAAGGAATTGTATGCTCTTGTTCGCACATTAGAAACATGGCAGCATTACTTGTGGCCCAAAGAGTTTGTTATTCATTCTGATCATGAGTCTTTGAAGCATATTTGTAGTCAAGGGAAATTGAACCGTAGACATGCTAAGTGGGTTGAATTTATTGAATCTTTTCCTTATGTTATTAAGCACAAGAAAGGAAAAGAGAATATTATTGCTGATGCTTTGTCTAGGAGATATACCTTACTGAATCAACTTGATTACAAAATCTTTGGGTTAGAAACAATTAAGGACCAATATATTAATGATGATGATTTTAAAGATGTGTTGCTGTATTGTAAAGATGGGAAAGGTTGGAACAAATTCATCTTTAGTGATGGGTTTGTGTTTAGAGCTAACAAGCTATGCATTCCAGCTAGCTCCGTTCGTTTGTTGTTGCTGTAGGAAGCACATGGAGGTGGCTTGATGGGGCATTTTGGAGCTAAGAAAACGGAGGACATACTTGCTGGTTATTTCTTTTGGCCAAAGATGAGAAGAGATGTGGAGAGGTTTGTTGCTCGTTGCACTACATGTCAAAAGGCTAAGTCACGGTTAAATCCACATGGTTTGTATTTGCCTCTACGTGTTCCTAGTGCTCCTTGGGAAGATATTTCTATGGATTTTATGTTGGGTTTGCCAAGGACTAGGAAGGGACGTGATAGTGTGTTTGTGGTTGTTGATAGATTTTGTAAGATGACACATTTCATACCCTATCACAAATCGGATGATGCTACTCATATTGCTGATTTGTTCTTTTGAGAAATTGTTCGTTTGCATGGTGTGCCCAACACAATTGTTTCTGATCGTGATGCTAAATTTCTTAGTCATTTTTGAAAGACTTTATGGGTAAAACTAGGAACTAAGTTTTTGTTTTCTACTACATGTCATCCCCAAACCAATGGTCAAACTGAAGTTGTCAATAGAATTTTGTCTACTATGTTAAGGGCTGTTCTAAAGAAGAACATCAAGATGTGGGAAGATTGTTTGCCTCATATTGAATTTGCTTATAATCGTTCGTTTCATTCTACTACAAAGATGTGCCCATTTCAGATTGTATATGGTTTCTTGCCTCGTGCTCCTATTGATTTGATGCCTTTGCCATCTTCTGAAAAACTAAATTTTGATGCTACTAAGCGTGCTGAATTGATGTTAAAACTGCATGAAACAACTAAAGAAAACATAGAACGTATGAATGCTAAATATAAGTTTGTTGGTGATAAAGGTAGAAAAGAACTATTATTTGAACCTGGAGATTTAGTTTGGTTGCATTTGAGAAAGGATAGGTTTCCTGATTTCAGAAAGTCTAAATTAATGCCTAGGACTGATGGACCATTTAAAGTGTTAGATCAAATTAATGATAATGCATATAAACTCGATCTGCCTGCAGAATTTGGGGTTAGTCCCACATTTCACATTGCAGATTTGAAGCCATATTTGGGAGAAGAAGACGAGCTTGAGTCGATGACGCCTCAAATGCAAGAAGGGGAGGATGATGAGGACATCAACACCAACGATACATCCACGCTGACACGAGTACCAGTTGGTCCTTTTACTCGTGCCCGTGCTCGTCAATTACTCGTGCCCGTGCTCGTCACATTAATCATCAAGTAAGTTCACTCTTGAGTTCCTGTCCATCATATTTAGACCATGGAGACACGTGCACTCTTATTTTGGTTAGGAACCAGGGAGAGGACCGAAAGGGACACTGATTCACGGAGGCTGAATTCGGACTCCAGGACATCTCCAACTTGTGATGGTCACCACCAACTCGGATTGGGGCGTTCAAGTACTTCATGGAATCCTTATGAAGTCTATTTTCATATGGATCTGAAATCAAGTCCATATCTGTTTTGAGGCGGCCACAATGACTGAATTACGACTGAGAGCTTGTCTATCCAAAAGTGCTGCGTCACCTTAGTTTGGTCCAATGAGCCGTGTATCAAGTTAGGTCTATTAGGGACGCGTCCTAGGGTTGGAGAACGACCCCAACACCCTGGTGGTCGTCCTTCCACCTTCATATACTCCTTAGCCACCACCAAGAATAGTTGGGTTTTGTTTAGATCAAATTTAGCTCTCGCTACTTGCTTGTAAGCGCGCGTGCTGGATCAGCCGCCCGTCTTCTTGTCTTCGAAACCCCACCTTAATTAAGATTGAGTTTGAAACTTTCATCTACATCTAGTAATTTAGTACTTACTATACTTGTTCTTGCTAGTTCTTCGATTGCTTGCAGGACGAGTGCCCTAGTGGCCGGTGACGCGCTCCACAAGATCGCAGCAGCTGTCGGAGGTGGTGTATCGGTTGCTAAGGCGTAGCTTGGAAGGCTGTAGTCGGGCCGTAAACGTCGTCTCCACCCATCAATCGAGTTATCCCACACCTCTCATCGAAAGATCGGGAACAAACCCTAGCGGGATCATATCACACGGCCTAGGCCCACTCTGCCTAGGGGTGAGCCCCACCTACATAGCAACCCGCTTGCGTTTTCGTCCTCTCTTCGCACAAAACGGTTAACCCAAGGTTACTACGCGTCCTTGGCCTGACAATTTAAGCTGGTCCGGCGAACTCAGAATTCACAATATGGTATTAAACTTCTGGTTGCACAGTGTTTTATGCAGCTACAGTACTCAAATTCAGCCTAGTCCAATTCAGTGCTAGAGCTATAGTAGCCCCGGCCCAACCGCAAATACAGTCCATGAGCTAGGTCTCACAGCGCATTACAATCCCAATGCAACGAAGAAAAAATAGATTATCCCTGAAACCGAGGGAATGAGGTATAAGCAGCCTGTTCGCTTGGTCGTAAACGATCGTAAATTTCCAGCCAGAACAGTATTTTTCTCTCACACCAAACCAGCCAGCAGTAAATAATCCACGATCCTTTACGGCCTCCCGAACAGGATGAAGATTTATTGCGAACCAGAGAGATTTCCTTTGTTAGTGCTCATATGCGAATTTCAGCAGCTGGTTCACACCTCGGCTGGTATAGATTTCCACTGTAGTTCGGCTAGTTTCAGATGATTCAATAGTGTTATGTGAGAGAGAATAAGCTGAAACAAGCTGAAAGAAGTTCAGCCGAACAGGCTTGTACCTGCAACATGTCCAGATTACTGTTGTATTCGCTGAGATCACAGGCGCGCCACCATAACAACTCATTTGCAATATGCTAAACTACTTTGAAGCGACTTCCTATGCTTCAGAACCAGTACATCATCAATGGAAGGTCCAGCCTCTAGGTCTTCAATCAAGATGCTGACAGCTGAAGCAGATGAAGACTTTGCCACGGCCACAATGCTTCAACAATTGGGTTCATCGAGCATACAATTTTCAGACTGACTCAGTCATCACCTGAGCAGGCAGCTTGATCAGAACATAGGGGGCAAGGCTTCAACAATCAAATACCAGCTGGTCAACAAATTTCGTCAGCAAATATAATGTCGAATATGGACTGGACTGCAAAATAAGGAAAACAGATTGTAACACTCAATCATGTAATTAGACAGATGAAAAAATGGAATCATTGAAAGTATAACCAGACAAGCTTTTTTATTCTTTTTTTTTCATTCTGCACCTTCATCTTTTGGAATGTTTGGCTGGTCTACTAAGAGTTGGCGTAGTACAGCAGTGTCACTGGAACTGCAAATGAAAATATCACCATGATTGCTCTAGCTAATAAAACACCAACGAAGATGTATGAATTGCATGTGTTCTAAATACTAAATTAAGAAAAAAAACATCACTATCATCTATAAGAATCTCGACAGAGAATGAACTCCAGAAATGACAAATCAATGAGTCATTAGGAAAAGCTGAATGGCAAAACCATCGAACTTGCCTGCTCTTCCATGTCAGCAAGGATATAATTGATGATTTTAGTGTAAACCTGTCAAATGGCAACCAGGATAAGTTCACAGCAAAATAAAAGGGGGGGCAGATTTTCCTGCAGGAGAGTTAAGATTAGATGAACATGTGTTGTGAGTTTGTGACTCCTGTGAGAGTAGTGCCAGGACATATGTCTGTGGCGTCTTAAAATATCAGTATAATGGAAGAATATAAATCATGTCTGAATTGGAGGATTAGCATACAAAGGTTAGAAGTTGGATGCAGCTCTATTATCAACTGAGAATATTTTAAACCAACATGAGCTGAACTTCTTAGTCATAGTTATTGATATGGTTGGATTGGATCATAAGAAATTAGGTCAAGAACAATGATCTTGTGGAAACACAACTCAAGAAGCACCAGCATAACAATAGCATAGTTATATTAAGGCCAAATGCAAGCTATAAATGATTAAATTGGGCAACTGGAAGGGGCCTAAGTATAATTCCATTCTTACTCTGCCTGGTGCATCTCACATAATGTTTGAAATCCATCCAAGCATTCTGCAATCGTTGGCAAAATTCCCACTTGTAACTGCATCTGTTTTGCCGTGAGTGCCGAGCCGCCTCTCACCATCTGCTTGTTATCACGCAGAGCCTTATTTAAAGCTTTCACAATGTCATTGAACTTCTCCCTGAATAATTGGCAGCATTGTTGTCAGACCAACTTGAATTAAAATTTTTCCCTTGCACCAAAATTGAAGGAAACTGTAAATGTAATAGTAAAGTAGCTTACAGGACCTCCCTAGCATTAACGAAAATGAGCTCCAGAACCTCCATCTGGTTCCCCATGAGTTCCTCTCTGATGTTGGGCACACCACGCAAGGGACCATAATTCTTGTCCTCTCCAAGGGCCTTTATCAAATGATACAAGCAATCAAACTTAGGTTCCTCTACATAGTTGAGAAGCTAAAATGACAACAGTACAACACAACCACATGCCACTGCAAGTTATAAAATTTCCATAGAATTCTCAAAGATACAAGCAAGTCAAGTAGCAACTTGCCGTCTTATGCAAATAGCAAAACTGCAGACCACCAATAGTTAACAGAATAACCAAGGATTCTATGAAGCCCCAAAATTTGCTGTTGCAATCTCAGAAAAGTGCTGCGCAACAATTACGAAAGAACAGTCTCAAACTGCATCATGGTTGTGAAACCTTGGGCCGCCAAACTGGCTGTCATGAGTTGGGACATGGGACTGCACGAGAGGATGATCCAAGAAGGTACCTGAAGGCGAGAGATGACCGTGCCGGCATTGGAGAAGTAGGAAAGGAGGCGAGTGTTTAGGTCATCCCACTGGTCCATCTCCTCCTGCGCCTTCCTCACACGCTGCTGCACCTTCCGCACCACCGCCTCCATCTAGTTGTTTGCTTTTTGTTCGGCTTTCACTGTCCCACAATGGTTTCTTGAAGCCTATGGCCTAGATGCCTAGCTCCCCTGATTCTGGACTACGGGAGCCTCACAGCATTGTGCCAAAGGGGAGAGAACTGGACACAAGTTGCAACACAGGATTTCAATGCAGAGCATGCCTAGCCAATTCTCCAATATGCAATTCGGTATCCAATACACAACCTGGTAACACAACTACAAAATTTGCCATGCAATTCAGAAAATAACAATCTCATAGGAGCGAAGTAGCGAACTATTCTGAAAATAGTGCTAACATAGATCTCCCTACAGGTATGAACCTAGACACACAGGATTATTTCCAACAGATGATCGATGAGTGAGACTTAGAGATGCGTCCGTGGAACCACGGAACCACCCACAGCTATGAAGTGTAGGTAGGTCTAGGACCACTGTGCTTTACCTATACGTTACTTAATAAGCATCTAAACAATAATTAAACATTTTACATGGTAGGATATTTTCTACCAACTAAAACCTTCTATGGAACAAAATTGTCTTACTAGGACTAGGAACAACTATTTGTTTTATGAGAAGGAAAAAACATTCGCGAAGAGGAAAGAATATTCTAGAGGATGAACAAAAAATGTCCTAGTGTGAACGATGTGGCTGTTTGATGCAGCGAGCTGTATATACGATGCATAAATATAGGGCCCATGGCAGACCCAAGAATTGTTCAAAACTAGGGCCACTTCCAAGTAGCAAAAACTACCTTATACAGAGTACGTCACAAATAGAAAATAGCTAGAATGAAGGAATATTTTACCCCTTATATGTCACACATAGAGAAAGAGCTAAAGTGAAGAAAAAATTTCTAATTGATATGATGCTTGAACTACATGCTTATAATAGTACACTAAAATTGTCAAGAACATTACATTACGAGATTATGCACAGAAATAAGATGCCATGGTCTTGGTCCTCTTCATTGTAAATAATGTGTAGATTTAGATTGATGATTCTACCTACAATTCTCAATCCAACTTAATAGATACTACTGCAAATGGTTGAATTGGAAATTGTAGTAGTAGTAGAGAGAAATACCTCAAACTGGAGCTCACTACTACAGGATTGATTTTGGGTGGCGTTCTCCCTTTTTTTTACGGAGGCGGGCGTCCAGGTTGGCCGCCTCGGTTATTCCCTGGCCGGCCGGAGAACGGAGGCTGGACTGCCGGAGAACGGAGGGGTGCTGCCGTGCACCGTGCTCGCGTGCTGCGGCCTACGGGCTGCCTGCGGGCTGTGGCGCAACCGCGCAAGACATCCGGGGCAGCGCGTTTCTTCTCATGCCTGGATCCTGAAGCGGCGGCTGTGCCGCCGGCGTGCTCTCCACGTCCAAGGGCTAGCAGTGGCAGCCGAGCGCCCAAGCTGGCGAGCAGAGCTGCGGACAGCCGAGTGCTGAGTGCAGGGGTTAGGGCGGATAGATTCGTCGGATGCAGCACTCCGGTAGCCGGCGAGCAGTCGGCGGCGGCGGATCGATGCGGAGGCGACGGGGGTCGGGCGCCGGGCGCTGTCGCGTGGAACGCGAACGAGGACTAGACTAACAACTAATTAAGTTATTGTAATAAAATCAAATAAAAAAACAAATATGAAAAGAAGATTCTAATAGTGACCAAATTAAATGAGCGAGAAAGCTCATGAAAATTTTAGAAAAAAATTATGAATAGTATTCAATCCTCTCCCCTCGAGATAGAGGATGGCCGAAAGACATCATCCTGAACATCAGCGTATACATCTTCATGTACCGAAACAAATCAGGAAATAAAAAGGCTTCAGGCTGTTCGGCTGGAGTGGTTTGTTCGTTCTGGTTCGTGAGGAAAGTATTGCTGGTTGATTTGTGTGAGAGAAAAATATTGTTCGATTGAAAACACTGTTTAGGTAAACAGTGCCCGCGTGAGAGGGCTGGCCAGCCATCACCAGCCAGCCAGCCTGTCGAACGGGCTGCTTATTTCCTCAATCAGTTCTAGTTTTTGTTCTTGCATCTGTGCAATCCAACTAGGTTTCTCAACAATTATAAGTCGTTCTGATTTTTTTTAGTACATAGCTTTTTGCTATAAATCTAGATCTTATATATATATTTCTTGAATACCATCGTGATAATACAGGATACACCTTGTAAATACTATGATAACAACCGTATTATATTAAGAAATAGATGAAGTGAACATCACCCAAGATCATGATCAAGAAAAGATACTTTGAAATAGAAAATACAAAATAAAAGAAACAGAAAGAAACGAAACGTAAATAGAAAATAAAAGTAATAAAAATAAAACAATATAAAGGAAAGAGAAAACAAAAAAAGCCACATAATAAAAGAAAATAATAAAAAGATATGGAACTATGAGAACAACTTAAAATACGCCATAAAACATTTCATGAATACTAAACAACAAAAAAACAACGTGAAACATACAATGAATTTACGTAAAGAATCAAACATACACCCCCGACCATCTTTTTTTTTTGAACTTACTACATGAATGTTGCAAATACATGTATAAATATGAGTACTATGAAAATACTTCATAAAACATCTCAAAATTACTATAGAAACAATATAGAACACATCATAGAATATCAAATACTCCGTATAACCAAGGAAATAAAAATAAAGAGAATAATTAACTAGATAAACATAAAAAAAATGGAACATGAACTCAAACACATAAATGATATATATGGGCTGAACTGGAATACATGGATCAAAATGAAGTAACAAGATGAGTTCGGTGCGGTGGGAAGAAAACTTGGTCACCCAACAACCCATTACAGAAAACAAACAACCTGAAACTACCGAAACAAAGCCTGTTTGGTTGGTTGGTTCGTATCGTTCCTGATTTGTTTATGGGAGAGAGAAGTACTGCTGACTGGTTCACATAAACAGTGTTTATGTGAGAGGGCTGGCCAGCCAGCCCAGCCAGCCGCTCCCAGCCGATCAGGCTGACATGTCAGGTGATGGTCGGTAGCACGCTCGAGAGAATCGTCCATTTCGCCTTAGTTTGAGCACAGACAAATCATGATTCGCACATCAGTGATCATAGTCATAGCACTGGGAAACGGAATGCTTGTCACTACCACGATGGATGTACTCAAAAGCTAAAGTTTTCACCTGAATTTCTGAGATTTATCATACACGGGGTACAATAACCCATCATGTTTGTCGTTACAAATTAAACCTCCAGGGAACCGCCTTGTATTCTCAGCAAACATTTCTTCATAATACAATGATCCATAAGTTTTTTGCGTATTCGACAATAAAAAGTACAAATTAAACCGACATCATGTTACAAAAAGAATGAATCAAACTTAACGCGGAAATGAAGTAATTTTGATGAAGCAAATGGGAAGGAGAAGGGCAACATCAGACGATCGAACCATGTTTCCGTAGAATATTAAAGTAAGCGAGAATGACGAACAAGACCAAGAGGTACGGTGGTCAATATAATGGCGGATCATCAGTTGAACCTGTTGCAGACCTTGCGGATCTCCCCCTGCGTGCCGGTGAGCACGTTGACCTCGCTGAGCTTGACGAGGGCCTTGGGGAAGAGCGAAGTGAAGAGGCCGTTGTCTTTGGCGAGCTGGTCCACGATCCAGCTCGTGGACCCGTCCTTGTACAGGTTCTGATCGACGGAGAGCACGCCGCGTTTTTTCTGCAGGTTCTTGTAGTAGTGGTTGTCCACCTTGAGCGCGCTCCACTGGTCGTCCAGGAACACGACGTTGTTGTCCGACGAGGGCACGTTGGGGCACACCTGGTTCTTGTACACGATCGCGTAGCTCGGGTCCATGCCGGGGTCCGTCGCGCCGGGCCTGCCGCCGTACCTGTACAGCCGGCTGCTCTTGATCGCGCTGCAGCGTGTGGCGCCCACGGTGTGCGCGCCCAGCAGAAGCGCCGTGTCAAACGCGCTGAGCCCCAGCCCGCCGAAGTACGCGACCGTCTGCGCCGCGGTGAACTCAGGCGACGGGAGCTTGACGTCGGAGGCCAGTGACCGCCGGCGGTCCCTCCGCCCCGTGCGCACCGCGTACGCGGCCCCACCGGCCAGCGCGACGGCGTCCCTGGTGGCGAGGATCTGGATGTCGGAGCAGGACACGACGCCGGGGCACCTCCGCTCCAGCTCCGCCTTGATGGCCGCGATGACGTCGTAGCCCTTGACGCTAAGGTTCGGCGGCGCCGTCTTCTCGGTGCTGGGGCCGTCGATCAGCAGACCGCCGTCACAGCCCTGCATGCGAATTATATAGTAACCGTGGCACCGTGCCGTGTCATCACGTTATTAACAAACCAGCGCAACACACGCGTGGACAGTGGAGTTGCTATAGCTCGTACACGTACATTGACGGCGCACTCGTGGAACTGCATGCGGAGGAGGTAGGCGACGATGGGGTTCTCGCGCGCGAAGCGGGCCCTGACGATGCTCTGCACCACCGCCTCCACGTCGGTGCCGTTGCACTTGCCCTTGTAGAACCCGTACTGCAGCTGGGCGCTGCCGCCGCTGGCCAGTGCCAGGATGGAGACGGCCACCATGAGCGCCGCCGCCGCCGCACCATTGCGCGCTGCTGAGGCCATACCGATCTTAGCTTGGTTTGTCTTTGGAATTTCTCGACAGATCAGTATGGTGAGAGGGAAATGGCGCATGGCTAGCCTACTTATAGGATAGTACCGCTGGGTCTGGGAGATAATACAATGCAACAAAAAAAGTGATGCGAGCTTAGTTGTTTACTAGTACGTACTGTTTTCATGGTCGTGGAGATCACGATATGACGCTGACAGCCCCATGTCTGTCCTTTTATGTATCCATTAAATCCATTAAACAAAAGGACCATGCTAGCTGTGCCTGGAAGATGCAGTATATATGCTGTCCTCTGAGTTTTATTGTATTATTGATCCGGCTGGAATTCAGGCTCAGGGTTTTTATTTGGGTCTCGTTTAATTGGCGAATTTTTTTTGAAAATGGTACGGTAGCACTTTCGTTGTTATTTGACAATTAATGTTCAATTATAGTCTAATTATGATTAAAAGATTCGTCTCGTGAATTTCGTTTAAATTGTGTAATTAGTTTTATTTTTTATTTATATTTAATGCTTCATGCATGCGTCCAAAGATTTGATGTGACGGGGAAATCTTGAAAATTTTTGCAAAATTTTGGGAACTAAATAGGCACTTGCACACCTTGATGTTAATTGACCAGTATATATATGTGCTGCCTAGATCCTGCAATAGTGGGCTTGCACTAACCCACTCACACCAACAGCGGAACAGGCCATGGATGCCGACCATCATTGTGCAGCATTACTCTTCAGAGCCGTTTTCCCAACAATTTGTTTATTGTGCATGCTTTCATCATCCTAATAATCGAAATAAGAATTCTACATTTAAAGTCCTGAGAATTAATATGAAGAAGTTGATGGGCGGTAGTCTGCAGTTTGGCTGCTCTTTCGTGCTATTCTCTGACTAGGAGGGAGATTAATTTGACATATTCCTTGCACAGGATATTGTAATCTGAGGGAGTGAGAGGTCAGGTCAAAACTCAAAATTTTGTTCTACTTTTAATGAAGGGATGAGAAGGAAAATGTCACTAGTTATTTAATGCAACGGAAGTCTAAACCATTCAATACGGATAACTGAGCACAAGTCGCAGCCTTTGTTTGCATCTGCTCAGCTGTTGAAAACAGCGTTTGTTTGCTTAATGAAATAAACTCCCTTTATCTAGAAAAAATCTTTGATTGATTGATCTACTGATTTATTAGTCTGACACAAGAGTCTTTGAGTCTTTTTCTCTCGTGGGCTCTGTTCCTGCTCCCTCACCTCACCTGACAAAAATAAGAGCGGGCGCTTTTAACAGACTTGGGCCTCTTTCAGGCTGCCTGACTCCTGCCTAGGACGGCCCATGCATGGTCTTGTGGGCCTTCCGGGTACACACATGTTTAAAAAAAAAAATCTTGTCACTCTCGATTGCACGGTCTACGAATGGGAGAAATATTGGTGGCAGCCGACATCTTCAAATGCAAGGAGAACAGGGAAGTATTCTTATCATTTTCTACTGATGCATTACGGTTGGCTTGGATTAAAAACGAAATTGGGCATGCACAAACAAACCTTCAGGATTTGTTTCAGGATTAGATAGATGCCAGGATGTACTTTTGCATTAGACTGAGAGCTTTTGTTAACCAGGTGGCAAATGCTTTTGATTGCCTTCTAACCTAGGTCAGTAGGTGGTAAACTTGGTTGTAGCTAGTTACACTCTTTTGGTAGAAGCAAGTAGAATACATTAAGTTGCTAATTAGGAGTACAAGTTCTGCAATGATCCTGACTTTTATATCAGTAAGTACAATGTTACTAAGTCCTTTGTGTTATGTAATGATCCCACATCCTTCTTGCTATGTCATCTCGCTTTTGATTCCCAGCTTGTCTAGAGTTATTGAATGCTTGAATATCACCATTATAGTTCAGATCTCCATTTGGCATGTCAACAATCTGGTTTGCATCAATTTCAACATTGGAGTTACTTGGCCACAAACATATCTCCGTTGTGTAGGCGTATGAAGTTGTGTAGAACACAACAAGCAACTGATATGTCCACTTGCTTATTAACCGGCTAGTGTGCACCAATTCTCAGAATAGGAAACCTCATTTTTAATATGCCAATTGCCCTCTCAATATGGTTCCTTAGCTGTGCATGTCGAAGATTGAACAATTCTTTGTAATCCCGAGGCTTTTGATTAGCTCTTCCTTGTTCCTGTAGATGATATCTTGTTCCACGATATGGCGCAAGAAATTGTGTGGTGTTTGCATAACCTGCATCTACTAGAAAAAATTTACCAGGAGGCACTTCAAAGCCATGGTTAAGTGCATCTTGTAGAACTCTTGCATCTGAAGCTGATCCCTCCCAGCCGGCATGTACATGTACAAATTTTAGATCGAAGTCACATGCTAGCATAACATTCTGAGATAGTGTTTGCTTTCTATTCCGATATGGTTCTTGCTGATTCAGCGAAAGTATCATTGGTATGTGAGTCCCATCAATACAATCAACACAGTCCTACAGAAATAAAAAAATTGCATGGTTTATATAGTATATTATCTTTAAGTAGTTTGTGTGACCTTCTGAAATTTAAAAATCAAATTGTGCATTTGTTCATACCTGAAAGAAGGGGTGGAATTTTGGTCTTCGCAAAATCTGGTGCGGGTGTAGGGAAGGTGGGCGTATATATACACATGTAAGCTGTGTAATTGCATCAAGCACTGCTCCAAAATGGCGATTATTGTTTCTCCACTGTGTTGAACTCATATTGCAAGGTCTCATTACTTGCATTTTTCACTAGTGCATATAAGGATATAGCAACCTTCTCTTCTATTGAGATGGCCCTTGAATCAGCAAGTAGTTGCTTCTCACTCAACTTATTGACCAAAGCTTGGAAAACACCAACTTCCATTCGGAAGTTCCTTTTACTTAGGCTCTCGTGGCATGTTAAGATTTCATGAACACGCTCAGCTCCTGACAGTTTTGATGTATGTATGGGATTCTTACTAGATGATGGGTGTGATGAATCTTCTATGGTATGGTAGGGAGAACAAACAACATGAACTCATCTTCATTTTGTGATCGTTGTCGATAGTTTGGATCCATGACTAACACAATGGAAACCCAACTAGGGATACTCAAATATGTTGTAGGTTCGCTTTACAGATGTCCACCTCATATATAGTAGAGAGCAAAAAAGGAAATAAGTCGTCCATCAGTACATAAATAAAAGTTCATATATATTTACAGAAATTGAAGTTCAGTTATGAGATTTGTGACTTACCAAATGAAGTGTCTGTTCCAGTTAGATCTCTTGTCATGTTTTGTGACCGACCAGATTTGGAGAGGAGCTAGCTGTATATGACAGAAGGCTTTCTTGTGGTGTTTTGTGACTGAGCAGATGTGGAGATGAGCTACTTGGTCTCTTCAGGATGCAAATGAGACGTATTTATAACTCCATGTAACGGTTGCATGTATTTGTAACTCCATGTAACGGCTAGTGTGTGATTTGAATGCAACGGCTAGCAAGAGCTTCTCAAACGTGTACAGGACAAGTCCTTTGTTTCTCCTGTGGTGCTGCCAAAGAGCAGCTGTTTTACTTTCCTGTGTTTTTGAACCCTATGTGAGCAGTGGCGGAGCCAGGAATTTACGGCTGTGTATGCCAAATGTACAAAATTTCGAAGCAAATATGCAATATGATTGACGATAAGTTATAATAGTCATAACATTTAAACAAATCTATAGTAATAACCAAAGTACAAGTTCGAAACATAAATAATTAAGAAATATTACTCTCAATCTCAACAGAATGAGCATTTGATGCGGATGTGGAGGGTTTTTTTTTTGCCTTTGTAACTTTCTCCCACAATGCAAATATGCTAACACCCTTCTTCTTCATCTACATTATAAGAATGAAGAATACGATCAAAAGAATTAGAAAAAACAATTTTTCAATAGTTCACTGAGGAGTGAATCTAGGGTGCTGTGCATATGCTATGCTCACCTTGCTTGAAGCTGTCGAGCAGAGGAGGAGGGCCGGTCGCCGGAGCCCAGAGGGTGCTCGGTGCTGCAGATGGGGAGGTGCCGCCCGGCCGTCGCCGGTGGCCGGCTCCTTCGTGCTGGGACTCTGGGGGCGAGCAGCGAGGGGGAGGGGAAGGGGAAAGGGGCGAGTCGGCCGGAGTGGGGGAGATGGCGAGGACGAAAGGACGTGAGGTACCGCCCGCCGGCGCCGGTCGCTGGAGACTGGAGTGGGGGAGGTCCGGAGGTGGCGCGTGGCGGGGGTCGTGCTGCCATGCGTGGCTGCGTGCTGCGGCGTGGAGCAGCGAGCGCGAGCAGGGAAAGGGGCGCCGGGCAGGGGCAACGCAAGCGACAATGTGTATTCTAGGCTTTGTTGCTTTCGTGGGCTGCCATATTGCCAGAAACAGATGTTCTATTGGGCCTATGAGCCAAAAACGTGTATGAAGATATGTATAAAGATGTATATACTTATTGATTTATTCTCTCAAATCTTGGGTATGCCTTGGCATACAAGGGCATACCCCTGGCGCCGCCACTATATGTGAGTGGAGAAACCTAGCACGTCATTTCCTATGTTTTCCTATCCCTGTATGTTTCCTATCCTGTGATCAAAGAGGGCCTTAACACGAAGACGAATACCTGTCCGGTGCAGCCCATTTCAATTTTTTTGTTGTACTCCACGTTGATGGGTGAGATTAGTTCCTTGTTGGGTCGGTGCCTGTTTGACTTGGTGACTCCGCGGCACATGGGCACTGTTGCTTGAGCTCCAATGCAGTCTCTTTGAGACTTTAGTTTACCTTCAGTAGATCAGAGGCAGGCATCAATGTATCATCATGAACAGATCCAGCACATGAGAATGTATGCGCAGCTCCGGCTTGTATGGCCACAGTCCACACCAACTGAATGTCTGGTTGCTTCAAGTCCAGATAACTTTTTATAGCAGAACACATATCGCGGGTCAAATCAGATTAAGGTAGCTCACCTATAGGATATATAGTACTATGCAGGAGAACAACTTGTAGTGTAGGCTATAGCTAACATATGAGGAAGCTCCAAATGGGAACGACGGTAGGTAGATAGCTAGTAGCAGGCCGGTGGTAAATATATATGAATATATGAATATCACTTCAATTCGCAACAACGAGAACATGCTGCTTCCATCTTCTACGCATGCAACCTGTGACATGCATGCATGCGGTCAATGCATGCATTTGAGGAGTATGAAGACACTGTGATGAATTCAGTTTCGCCGCAAGATCGAGCGCACACATACTTCAGCTCATCATATACTACTGGCACTGGCACCAGCTGCCGTGTGTCAGTTGGCCATAAAATGGAAGTTGCTGAAGGCCCTGCAGGAAGCACCGTACCAATCTCTCTGCAACTTTCTGTTTAAAGAATCATAAAGCGTTCTGAAAGATTGAGAAGTCAGAAAACTACACGCTTTACGCTGCTACAGCTAGCAGCGCCATGCATGATTCAGATTCTATCCTTGGAGGAGGAAATTACGTCGGTCGCGGCAATCTAGGAGGTAAAGGTGGTGACCCTAATAACCTTGAACGACTCCTGCAGGTCAAATACGGTGAGAAGAAGACTCACAAAGTCACAAGTCACCCACAAATCAACAGCAGACTGCAGACGTAGAGTGAGATACCTCAGAACTCTTCTCCCTCTTTGGGAGCTGCATATATTGTATGCGCCTGCGCATCGGAAGGGCGGTCCGTGACTTGGATCCAAAGCACATGCATGCCCAACCAACCGAGCCACTTGATCATCACGTGTTTCGTGTTTACTACGATGATCTGTGTGAGAGACACACACTCTCTCTCTACTTGATGAATGTGGAATCCACATGTAAACGATTGACTCCACGGATTTTTTAAAGTGCCTCGCTAGCTGATTAACTAAAAAACTCGGTAATCAAAGGAAAGAATGCATACGCATTAGCAGTATAAGATCTACCTTTGCTGGAGTGCTTGATCATATATGCATTAACACTTGCATGATTGCATGTGTTTTTTTGATTTTTTTGATTTGCTGATCTGGCTACGTTGGTGGGAATATAATGCATCACTACCGGAAACAACAGATTTGTCGAGTGCCAAAAGATTTGCCGAGTGCATTCCATCGGGCACTCAGCAAAAAAACTATTTGCCGAGTGCTTCAGAAACCACACTTGGCAAAATAATGGCACTCGGCATACCAATATCTTTGCCGAGTACTGAAAAAAGACCACTCGACAAACTAAGAAAAAACACTCGGCAAAACAGAGACACTCGGTAAAAACACCGCCACGTGGACATCCGTCAGTTAGTGTGCCGGCCGTTAGGAGTTTGCCGAGTGTCCGTTAGTGGCACTCGGCAAAGAAGTAAGTTTGTCGAGTGTTTTTCTTTAGCACTCTGTAAAGAAATAATTTTACCGAGTGTTTTTTTTAGCACTCGGCAAATAAATAAGTTTTTTTTTCTCTTCTGACCTTGAAACTTTTTCTACTGTCCACATACAACATGTGGTACTCCATGTTAAGATTTGGTATATTTCTATATCTGTTTGCTATATTTAATTAATTTATTGTATTTCAAGGAATTTTTTGGTATAAGCCAAATTTGAGCTGCAAGTGATTCAAATAATAGAATAAAATGAGTATAAAAATGATATTCATGTTATTGAGTCTGGTGTGAGGCCTTACCTAGGAAATGAAAAGAAATTTCGAACATCTTGTTCAGGAAACATGACCACGAACATGTGGCTGAATGATTTTTAAATTCTAAAAAAAGCAAACGAAGTCTGAAAATCATAAGATTTGTTAAGATCTCATGATATCATACATGGAGGCCATGGTAAAAAATTGATAAGGTTTCGTATAATCTGTCATGTACGATGTTTACAAACCGAAGTATCTCAGAAGAAGAATCGTAGCGTTGAGAAGGATTCGGTAAGATTTGGAGTCAAAGTAACGGTGGAATTGGGGTTTGACTTCAAAACTTTTTGTATAGGCAATAGAGAACATAGATTGATTCATGTGTAATTTTGGTAATTTTTTTGGTTCCGTTTGATAATTTTAATTTATTAAGTGCAATTATAGAATTTTAATCGATATAAATTGAATTTGAGCTATAACTACATGAAATAATGGAATAATATTCCTAGAAAAATCAAATATATATTGTTTAGTGAATTTGAGAAGGTATTTTCAAAGTATATCGGAACAAATTAAGAAAAACACGTTATGGAAAAGGAGGAAAAAAAAAAAAAATAAGTTTGTGAAGTTTGCCGAGTGGACACTCGGCAAACATGGGGTTTGCCGAGTGTCAGACTTGGGACACTCGGCAACCCGCTTCACCGGGCCCCACACACGTGCAATAGTTTAGGATTTGGAAATGAAAAAAAAAACAAAACAGGTTTCCCAAGTGCCCACGATCTAAGACTCAGCAAACCTGGGGTTTGCCGAGTGTCAGACCTGAGACACTCGGCAACATAGCTTCACGGGCCCCACACACGCACAGTAGTTTAGGATTTGGAAATGGGAAAAAAATAAAACGGGTTTGCCGAGTGCCTGCGATCTAGCACTCAGCAAACCTGTAGTTTGCCAAGTGTCAGAACTAGGACACTCTGGCAAACAGCTTTACGAGCCCCACACACGCGCAGTAGTTTAGGTTTTGAAAATGACAAAAAAACAAAATGGGGGTTTGCCGAGTGCTAGATCGCGGGCACTCAGCAAATCTCCCTCGTAATCACCCCCAGTCCCGCACCCGGCCGTACACACACGCACACACTCACACACACAACCACGCCCACACCAGCCCCCGCCGCCGGCCCCGTGCCCGCCGCTGGCTTCCCGCGCCCGGCGTCCGGCCTCTCGCGCCACCCCTGGCCCCCGACGCTCGGCCTCCGCACCTAGCGCCCACCGTTGGCCCCCGACGCTCTACGCCCGCCCGACCCCCCGCACCGATGACACATGCTCTGGCGCTCGGCCTCCCGTGCCGCCCCTGGCCCCCAAGCGCCACCGCCGCCCCCACCCTCGGTGCTTGGCCTCCCACACCCGACGCCCAGTGCCTGGCGCCCGCGCCCCACCGCCGGCTTCTGCGCCCGCGCCACACCGCCGAAGTTGCAGTTCAGAGGTATATGCCAAGAATTTTTATTGCCTAGAATCATGTATTTCTGTTGACCTTAGAGAGTTTCAACACTGATTACTATATAAAAATGTGCAAAAACCGGGTTAAATGCCTTGCCATGCTAGTTTGTGTGTGCCTGCCTTTCTTGTGCTTCTATGGTCTGTGGAATGGAAATGGAATGCATAATGCAT